TGAGTGCGCAATATTCCCATTATATACATTATATCAGTTTATCTCATGTTACATATGTCATGTTATGTGTGTTCCTCATCAAAAGTCTATTAATAAGCACATACATTAGAAGAGTCCCGGTGTCATAATATTTCAAAAATACAGTCAGGTTTCAACTTCAACATACAGAATATCAGTATTTATAAAAAAAATTGTATTATTCATTTAGAATTTTAATCACATTCATTCTATACAATCATATTCTATGTCCTCCATCATCCATCACAGTTCACTAAGGGGTGTATTGATGAAAAAAAAAATCATCCTGTACGTCTGTTCTGTACAAATGCCAGAAAAACTGTATGTTGTTAGGCTATTTTATCTGCAGGTCAGATGTTCTTCATTCTTAACCTCCCTAGCGGTCTGATTATGTCCATATTTCTGTGCTCAAAGCGGTACTTTTTTTGCATGGAAATATGTATTTTTTATTGTAGGCTGTAATTCTTAGGAATAACTCACTGAAATCTGTCTGAACAAGAGTCTAGTAAACATCCCGGGGAGGATAAAACTTGAAACATGAAATCATAAATTATAATTTAATAAATAATCATAAAAAATAATATAATATAATAATAATTTATTTAATTCAATAATATAATCAAACCAAAAACACTGAAATGTGAAATAGAGCGCCAAGTTCGCACATCGCTGAGCAAAGTCGCAGAATCGTTTTCAGTGTCTGATGAGGAATTTCCCCCACGAATCATTATCACTCAATTCTGCAAGTGGTTCTGATTTACTATCTCTGTTCTCTAGCCGGTCTAAAACCGCTTTTGACCTAAAGGGACGCTTTTTGGACGCCATGGACGTTTCTCAGTTTCCAGGCAGAAAGAACAGTAAAAATGCAGGCAGGGCGCCGGACAAAGCACTCGGGACAAAATGTATGTGAAATGGTTTGATACAGGAATGTTATACTATGTGATTTTAGTGTATTTAGTGAATGTCACTTTTTGTTATTTTTAAATTTCAATCACCTGAAAAAAGAAATAAAATTGAATAATTTGCGCTACTTTGCAGGAGGGATGATGTTCCCTTTGCCGGGCAGTGGAAGGCAGGGCTCCGCTCCAATGCAGTAAGGGGTTAAATTGCGCATTTAGCGATCCATATTGGCCAATAATTCCAGCCGACGGTAATTATGTGAAAAGCTTTCTGTGCAATCTCGTCATTTAGAAAAAAGGTGTGTAAATAAACGAATCAGCATTTTCCGCCACTTACCGCCCTCCCTAAAGATTATCGAGCAGCTCGTTGGCGCACTTTTGCAGATTGTGTTTTCCCTGGGAAGCGTCGACATGAAAGGTGAACATCGGTGATAAGCAGAGATGACAATAATCTGACCGCCTCCGACGTTCGCGCTTCTAGAAAAGATCGTTGGCACTTCACAGCATGAGAAGGGTGACTTTTAGGAGGGAGTGGGAATGAAGCAAGGCATTGTGGGATTGGGGGGGGTGTCCTGCTTGTCAATCAAGCCTTACCAAGATGGCGCGACTTCAATGGTTGTCCTAGAAAATGGACTTTGTAGAAGGCTTCTGGCCAAGCTACTATGTATACGGCGGAAATATACACTGTACGTGAGGGCTGGTGAAGCTGCCAATATATTTGTAATTCTCTTCAGCCTTCTAGTGATCCAGGCACCCCTGCCAGGCTACATAAAAGGAAGGTGCCAATGCTGTAACTTTTGTTGTCACTTGCCTGCTCATTGCACATGATATAGCCACAGCACATTGCAAAGGACCTCCCTATGTTTGCACATTTTTTGAGGTCTCAGGAACATGCCAAAAAATCGAGTACTTTTTCTGGCATGTACAGAAACATGTTGCCCTTTTGCCTATTAATTCTTAATGGTGACCCCACGCATCTACCAATGTGCGTTTTCGCACGTGGATTTGGTACAGCTCGACTTTGTAAAAATGTCACAGGGAAGCCCACTGAAAAGAATGAGCTGCCCTAGACATGATGCTTGGGAATGCGTGGAAAACGTGTGGAAACAGGTGTGTGCTCCATTGCACCTGCATTGTACCTGCATTGTACCTGAAACACCCCACCAGCATTGTGCAGTCCAATAATACGTTCTCCACCCAAATTGCTGACCCTCCTACTGTCAGCCTGATTTCTGGTGTGTAGGTGACTGTGGGAAGAGGATAAAAATATATTTTTCCAGACAAAGTATTATATAGAATAATATTTAAATTTTATTCTAAGTGATGATTTTATATATATATATATATATATATATATATATATATATATATATATATATACAGTTGCAAGAAAAAGTATGTGAACCCCTTGGGATTACGTGGAGTTTTTGCATGAATTGGGCATAAAATGTGCTCTGAGCGTCATCTAAGTCACAACAATAGAAGAACACAGTCTGCTGAACATAATACTACACAAACATTAGATGTTGCCGTGGTTTAATTGCACATAACATGTAAACATTTCACAGTGCAGGGAAGAAAAAGTATGTGAACCTTTGGACTTAATAACTGCTTTTGACCCCCCTTTGGCAGCAATAATCTCAACCAAACGTTTCCTGTAGTTGCAGATCAGACCTGCACAACGATCTGAGGAGTAATTTTGGACCACTCCTCTTCACAAAACTGTGTTTCAGTGTAGCAATATTCTTGGGATGTTTGGTGTGAATCGCTCTCTTAAGGTCATGCCACAGCATTTCAATCGGGTTGAGGTCAGGACTCTGACTGGGCCACTCCAGAAGGCGTATTCTGTGCTGTTGCAGCCATTGTTTTGTTGAATGACTTGTATGCTTTGGGTCATTGTCCTGTTGCATCACCCATCCTCTGCGGAGCTTCAGTTGGTGGACAGATGGTCATACGTTTTCCTGCAAAATGTCTTGATAAACTCTGGAATTCATTTTCCCTCAATGACAACAATCCGTCCAGGCCCTGAGGCAGCAAAGCAGCCCCAAACCATGATGCTCCCTCCACCATGCTTTACAGTGGGGATGAGGTTTTGATGTTGGTGTGCTGTGCCTTTTTTTCTCCACACATAGTGTTGTGTGTTCTTCCCAAACAACTCAATCTTGGTTTCATCTGTCCACAGAATATTTTGCAGTAGTAGTGCTGTGGAGCAACTAGGTGCTCTTTTGCAAACTTCAAACGTGCTGCAATATTCTTTTTGGCCAGCAATGGCTTCCTCCGTGGTGTCCTCCCATGTACTCCATTCTTGTCTAATGTTTTCCTTATTGTAGATGTGTCAACAAAAATGTTAGCATGTGCCAGAGATTTCTGTAGGTCTTTAGCTGACACTCTGGGATTCTTCTTTACCTCATGCAGCATTCTGCGCTGTGCTCTTGCAGTCTCTTTTTTACAGGACACAACAACGCCTAGGGAGAGTAGCAACAGTGCTAAACTTTCTCCATTTGTAGACAGTCTGTCTTACCGTGGACACATGAACATCAAGGCTTTTGGAGATACTTTTGTAACCCTTTCCAGCTTCATGCAAGTCAACAATTCTTGATCGTAGGTCTTCTGAGAGCTCTTTTCTGTGAGGCATGGTTCACATCAGACAGTGCTTCTTGAAACCAGTAAACCCAAAACAGGTGTGTGTTTTTTAAGGGCAGGACAGCTGTCAGCAACACATCCAATATCATGACACTGATTGGAGTCAAGGTTGGCTCACTCCTGGCTTCAATTAGCTCTGGGAGAAGTCATTAAGCTAGGGCCTCACATACTTTTTCCTCCCTGCACTGTGAATGTTTACATGTTATATGCAATTAAACCATGGCAACATCTAATGTTTGTGTAGTATTATGTTCAGCAGACTGTGTTCTTCTATTGTTGTGACTTAGATGACATTCAGAGCACATTTTATGCCCAATTCATGCAAAACTCCACGTAATCCCAAGGGGTTCACATACTTTTTCTTGCAACTGTATATATATATTATATATATATATATATATATATAAATATATATATACTGTATATATAAAACACCCTCCATATTAGTAAGATAACCTGTTTGTTGTTTTATTTTTTTAGGCAGAGGATGAGTGTCAGCCTGGGATGAGTCAGCCTGGGAGTGAGGTAGAGAGGTCACCTCAGGACAGGAAAGGGAGGATCTGAAGGTCAGAGCTTCTGGAGCCCTCCCACCACCCCAGAAACCCGAGAGCTTGAGGGATTTTGGCCAATCCCCTGGCAGGAGGCTGGGTGTGGGGACCAAGGCCACCCTTAAGTATACACAGAGCCTGGGTGGAAGGGAACAGTGACTGGTGGAAGATGGACTGAGAGGCTGGAGTGTGGAGTCTGGGAGGGGAACCTACCTACAGGCAGGTTATTGGAAGGGAGGATCTCTGCTCTCCCACCATCTCCTAGGGAGGACGGCTTGTGCATCCGGGAAGGAGCCAGCCCAGTGTAAGACCTGAAAGTAGCTACCAACCCACCAAGTTAACAGGACAGAACAGTGTGAGTACTCTTACACTCCCTGGGTCAGATAAGGGGAGAGGGCAGTCAGGGGCAAGACCCAACTAGTTCACATCCAGGACTACTTCATTGTTAGCTCTTGGGCCCCCTTGCTCAAGGATACCCTCGGTGCAGCTGAGTGAGGAGGAGGATTCATATGGGGTCTGAGGAGGTACACCAGAGAGCTGGAATGCTCTTAAAAGAGAGACTATTTTGTCCACATCTGTACATAGTTGCTAAGGAGTTTGTCCCCAAGTTTGCAGTTTCCTTGAGCATCCCAAAGGCACCTCAACCCCAACCAAGTTCTAAACTCCTTAATAAAATCACAAAAGCAAGCTCAAGGACTGGTTACTAAGTGCAACGTGTGGAAGTGTGAAGATCTTTAGGGGGACCAAAAACTCAGTGACTCCTAAGGGGGTAGTAATATATACAGTATATACACTATATTGCCAAAAGTATTGGCCCTGCACTCCAAATCATTGGATTCAGGTGTTCCTATCACCTTCATGGACACAGGTGTATACAATCAAGCCCCTAGGCATGCAGACTGCTTCTACAAACATTGGTGAAAGAATGGGTCGCTCTCAGGAGCTCAGTGACTCCAAGCGTGGTCCCATGATAGGTGGTCACCTGTACAATAAGTCCATCCGTGACATTTCCTGGCTACTAAATATTCCACGCTCAACTGTTAGTGGGATTATAACAAAGTGGAAGCAACTGGGAACAACAGCAACTCAACCACCAAGTGGTAGGCCACGTCACATGACAGGGCGGGGTCAGAGCATGCTGAAGCGCACAGTGCGCATAAGTCAATAACTGTTTGCAGAGTCAATAGCTAAAGACCTCCAAACTTGGTGTGGCCTTCAAATTAGCACAACAACAGTGTGTAGAGAGCTTCCTGACTGCGTTGTGCCAAGTGTAAAGTTTGGTGGAGGGGGAATTATGGTGTGGGGTTGTTTTTCAGGAGTTGGGCTTGGCCCCCTAGTTCCAGTAAAGGGAACTCTTAAGGTGTCAGCATACCAAGACATTTTGGACAATTTCATACTCCCAACTTTGTGGGAAGAGTTGGGGGATGGCCCCTTCCTGTTCCAACATGACTGCGCACCAATGCACAAAGCAAGGTCCATAAAGACATGGAGGAGCCAGTTTGGGGTGGAGGAACTTGACTGTCCTGCACAGAGTCCTGACCTCAACCCCATAGAACACCTTTGTGATGAATTAGAGCGGAGACTGCGAGCCAGGCCTCCTCCCCCCGCCATCAGTGCCTGACCTGACAAATGTGCTTCTGGAAGAATGGTCCAACCTTCCCATAGACACCCTCCTAAACCTTGTGGACGGCCTTCCCAGAAGAGTTGAAGCTGTTATAGCTGCAAAGGGCGGGGCCAACTCAATATTGAACCCTACAAACTAAGACAAGGATCCCATCAGAGTGCCCCTTGACATAAATGATTCCCATCAGATTGCCCCTTGACATAAATGATGCTGATCAGAGTACCCCTTAACATAGAATGTGCCCATCAGAGATGGACTCTGATGGGCATATTGATATTATGGGGCACTCTGATGGGAACATGTTATATTAAGGGCCTCTCTGATGGGAACATTTTATGTGAAAGGGGCACATATGGGCACATACTGTGGAAAAGGGGACTCTGATGGGCATATGTGATGGAAACGGGGACTCTAATGGGGAATATGATCTAAAGGGGCACTCTGATGGGGAAATATGATAGAAAGGGGTACTTTGAGTGTAAGGGGGCGCTCTCACTGCAATACCTGATGTAAGGTGGCAATGTGATGGGGATACCTGATGTAAAGGGGCACTCTGATGGGAACAACTGATGTAAAGGAGCATGATTGGAACAACTGATGTAAAGGGGCACTCTGATGGGAATGCCTGATGTTTGGGGGCACTCTGATGGGAACACATTACTTAAGGGGGCTCTCTGATGGGAACACATTACTTAAAGGGGCACTCTGATGGGAACACATTACTTAAGGGGGCACTCTGATGGGAACACATTACTTAAGGGGGCACTCTGATGGGAACACATTACTTAAGGGGGCACTCAGATGGGAACTTCTGAAATAGGGAGGTGCTATGACAGTGGTTTATGGGGGAAGTCTGATGGTGGCACCCAATGTAATAAATTACTCTAGATGGGGAACCAAATGTAATGGAGACATTTATTTTCGGACCTTGGCCAGAAGAAGATTTTAGTGACCAGACCTCCTTGAATTTTAATTCTCTACCCCTGCTTTAGATTGTAAGCTCCACGAGCAGGGCCCTCCTCATCCTTCTGTATTGAACTGTATTGTTGCTGTATTGTCTCCCTTTATATTGTAAAGCGCTGAGCAAACTGTTGGTGCTATATAAATCCTGTATAATAATAAATAATATATAAATCCTGTATAATAATAATAATAATAATATAAATCCTGTATAATAATAATAATATATAAATCCTGTATAATAATAATAATATATAAATCCTGTATAATAATAATAATAATATAAATCCTGTATAATAATATATAAATCCTGTATAATAATAATAATAATATAAATCCTGTATAATAATAATATAAATCCTGTATAATAATAATATAAATCCTGTATAATAATAATAATAATAATATAAATCCTGTATAATAATAATATAAATCCTGTGTAATAATAATAGCTAATGGAGCAGCAAAGGGCTGGTAGGCTGCAATACATAAGATTTGGGGGTTTGGGTTTAGATAAACTTCAAAGCTGAACTTCGGGACACAAAACCTTAATTTACATAAATTTCTAAATAGCCACAAAGGATACAGATACACTTTGGGTGCATCAAATGTCTTTTGTAACCTCATCACTGTGCTGTACATATCCTCTGTAATGATCAGGGCTGTGGGAGGGGCCCAGCAGGCTCCACCCACTATAGAAAACTGTAGGAGGGGGCAGAGACAAGACCAGTCACACTGCACAAGGAGAGAGAGCAGCAGTGAGTGGTCTTTATTAGAGAGCTCCGCCCAGGGGCGGACTGACCATTTGGAAACTCGGGCACTGCCCGAGGGCCCGGGGTCAGTAGGGGGCCCCATGAGATGCCCCTGGTACCTTTTTCATAGGCTTTTTTGAGTTTGGGCAAGGACACAGGGGCCCCATGATCCCCTATTGCCCGGGGGCCCCATGAGTTGTCAGTCTGCCCCTCCTCCACCCCTCATTAATGCTGTTCACACTGCATAGGGGCCCTCGGATCGCAACCTCGCACAAATGTCCCTCCATCCTACGCAAATTTTGGCTTTTGTTTCCAGCTCCTTACCCTTTTTCCTTGTGTGTAAATGTGTTCATTTCCCCGGTAGACTTGTCACTACATGGAAAGTAAACTTTTGCCAGGGCGTAAATCTCGGGCAGGCGCTCTCCGTGCCGCTCCGTCTATATTGGAAACAAATGTGTAACAATAACACCGCTCTGCTTCCTGATTCCAGACTTTTTTTTACCACCACCCCCCCCGCCCCTACTTCTTTGAATTTTATGGTGTGTCCTGACCGGCGGTACCATCCCCAGCCTCCCCAGGGAAGGATGCTGGGGGGGGGGGGGTGACACATGTGAGAATTAGACAATGACCGCACCTGGCTGCCCTCTGCTCCTGTCTATGATAATGCAGAAATAAGAGCCGTGCGTCATTACGCGAGGTCGCAGCTCTTTCCCCGAACGCATTTAAATGTCTATTCCGCCGGGTCTCCCAGAGAATGGAATCCGTATGTTTGGTAAGATGAGACGGCTCATGGGGTGCTGGGAGTGCGGCTTTTCCAATAACGTTCGGTGCGAATCGCTCTGTAACTGCTTCAGGAAAGTAAAACATTTTCAGGTTTAACACTTGCAGCACTGAGATGGAATCATTTCTTTGTAACACCATTTGTTGGGTTCTAAAACCAATGCCAGAAATATCGAATGTTACTGGGCTATCTTCTCTCCAGCTCAGATGTTCTTCACAAAAAAAGGTGAATCAAGAAAATACTGCATTATGGCCACTAGATGGAGCTGTTGATCATAGGAAGTAAACACATATTTACATCTCCATCTAGTGGCCATAATGCAGTATTTTCCTGTTTCACGCTTTTCTTATGAAGAACATCTGAGCTGGAGAGAAAATAGCCCAGTAACATTCTATATTTCTGGCATTTGTACAGAACAAAAGCAGATGAAGTTTCTGGGGTGAATAGCTCTGTGAATGTTTATAAATACACCTCCAAATCTTTCTTTCTTATAGGTGTATCCCCCTCCCCCCAAAAAAAAAAACTCAGCGTCTAGGATTAAAGTTTTATTGCATTGATTTATTCATATTTATTTATGTCATGTATTTCTCCATCATACATGACCCACCCAGTCCCATTTACAGTAGATAACACCTATTTTCCAGGTGACCCTGCCCAGGTCACACCCACTTTCTGGGCTAATCCAGTCACATAACACATGACAAAATTAAATTCTGTTTTTCGGGTGGCCCCACCCAAGACCACACCCACTTTATTGGTCGTCTTGCTCCAAATTATGCAGGAAACACCCACTTGTGGCTACAATCCCCTCATTTGACACCTTTTTCAAGTTACTTTGCATGCTCAGTAAATAATGATAATAAAACAAATGTGGATGATGTGATCTCAGGACACAGCCCAGGACAGAGCATAATCGGGACAGCGCACCTAGATGTGGGATTGTCCCAGAAAATGCGGGACAGTTGAGTTGTATGATCCATTCCCATAACACATGACACAATGCTATTGTGATTTTCAGGTGGTCCCACCCAAGATCCCGAGATCACAACATCACCCATATCTGAGTTACTGAGCATGCAAAGGGTATTGACTGAGGAGATCCTGGCCACAAGTGGTAGGTTGCTGAATAATTAGGGGTTGGAACATCCACTCGTGGCCAAGATGTCCTCAGTCAATATCCTTTGCATGCTCAGTAACTCAGGTATGGTTGATGTTGGGACATAGTATGACCAGGACAGAGCATTTGGATGTGGGACTGTCCCAGAAACTCTGAATGTGGGACTGTCCCAGAAACTCTGGATGTGGGACTGTCCCAGAAACTCTGGATGTGGGACTGTCTCAGAAACTCTGAATGTGGGACTGTCCCAAAAACTCCAGGACAGTTGGCATCTATGAACCATGCACATACATATTATTTTGTTGCATTGCTAATTTTAAATATTAATAATAATTTGATTTTTTTTTTTTTTTTTAATTCCCACACCTTCTGATACTGGTTGCTACATTTAAGTAGCCTAGGACACATAATGATCCGGACAGAGCACCTAGATGTGGGACTGTCTCAGAAAATCCGGGACAGTTGACATCTACAGTGAGGAACAGAAGTATTTGAACACCCTGCGATTTTGAAAGTTCTCCCACTTAGAAATCATGGAGGGGTCTGAAATTCACATTGTAGGTGCATTCCCACTCTGAGAGACAGAATTAAAAAAAATTCAGGAAATCACATTGTATGATTTGTAAAGAATGTATTTGTCTTGCACTGCTGAACAGAAGTATTTGAACACCTAAGAAACAGCAAGAATTCTGGCTCTCAAAGACCTGTTACTGCGCCTTTAAAAAGTCCACCTCTACTCCACTCATTAATCTAACTTAGTAGCACCTGTCTGAGCTCTTTAAAGACACCTGTCCACCCCACAGTCAGTCAGACTACTACCATGGGCAAGACCAAAGAGCTGTCAAAAGACACCAGAGAAAAAATTGTGGACCTCCACAAGGCTGGAAAGGGCTACGGGGCAATTACCAAGCAGCTTGGTGAAAATAGATCAACTGTTGGAGCAATTGTTAGAAAATGGAAGAGGCTAAAGACGACTGTCAGTCTCCCTCGGACTGGGGCTCCATGCAAGATCTCACCTCGTGGGGTATCACTGATGATAAGAAAGGTGAAGAATCAGCCCAGAACTACAAGGGAGGAGCTGGTCAATGACATGAAGAGAGCTGGGACTACAGTTTCAAAGGTCACTGTCGGTAGAACACTACGCTGTCATGGTTTCAAATCATGCATTGCACGGAAGGTTCCCCTGCTCAGGTCATCACATGTCCAGGCCCATCTGAAGGTTGCCAATGACCATCTGGATGATCCAGAGGAGGCATGGAAGAAAGTCATGTGGTCAGATGAGACCAAAGTAGAACGTTTTGGTCTAAACTTCACTCGTCGTGTTTGGAGGAAAAAGAAGGATGAGTTGCATCCCAAGAACACCATCCCTACTGTGAAGCATGGGGGTGGTAACATCAAACTTTGGGGGTGCTTTTCTGCGAAGGGGACAGGACGACTGCACTGTATTAAGGAGAGGATGAATGGGGCCATTTATTGTGAGATTTTGAGCAACAACCTCCTTCCTCAGTCAGAGCATTGAAGATGGGTCGTGGCTGGGTCTTCCAACATGACAACGACCCAAAGCACACAGCCAGGAGAACCAAGGAGTGGCTCCGTAAGAAGCATATCAAGGTTCTGGAGTGGCCTAGCCAGTCTCCAGACCTAAATCCAATAGAACATCTTTGGAGGGAGCTGAAACTCCGTGTTGCTCAGCGACAGCCCCGAAACCTGACAGATCTAGAGGAGATCTATGTGGAGGAGTGGGCTAAAATCCCTGTTGCAGTGCAAACCTGGTCAGGAACTACAGGAAACGTCTGACCTCTGTAATTGCAAACAAAGGCTTCTGTACCAAATATTAACACGGATCTTCTCAGGGGTTCAAATACTTTTGTTCAGCAGTGCGAGACAAATACATTCTTTACAAATCATACAATGGGATTTCCTGAATGTTTTTTTTTAATTCTGTCTCTCAGAGTGGGAATGCACCTACAATGTGAATTTCAGACCCCTCCATGATTTCTAAGTGGGAGAACTTTCAAAATCGCAGGGTGTTCAAATACTTCTGTTCCTCACTGTATGAACGATTCACTTAAATTCTATTTTGTTGTTTTGCTCATTTTAAATATTAATAATATTAATGGTAATTTGAATTTTTATCTTTTTTTTTACATTTTCACCCCCTTTGATACTGGTTGCTACATTTAAAGTAGCCTGGGGCGCAGCATGATCCGGACAGAGCACCTAGATGTGGGACTGTCTCAGAAAATCCGGGACAGTTGGCATCTATGAACCATTCACTTAAATTTTATTTTGTTGTATTGCTAATTTTAAATATTAATAATATTAATGATAATTTGAATTTTTATCATTTTTTAAAAAATTTCACACCTTCTTATACTTGTTGCTACATTTAAAGTAGCCCAAGGCACAGCATGATTGGGCATGATAGAGTACTTAGATGTGGGACTGTCCCAGAAAATCTGGGACAGTTGGCATCTATGAACCATTCACTTAAATTGTATTTTGTTGTATTGCTAATTTTATATATTATTATTAATATTAATAATAATTTGAATTTCTATTTTTTATTTTTTTTTTCACTGTCCTGACACTGGTTGCTACACTACCCAGGACACAGCATGATCAGGACAGAGCACATGGATGTGGAGCTGTTCCAGAAAATTCCAGGAGGTGTCTCCCAAAATTACACCCACTTTCTCAGTGGCCCAGCCCCTAATTATGCAAGAACCACCCACTGGTGCCTACAATCTCTTCAGTTATTACCCTTTTTTGAGTTACTGCATTTGCTGAATAAATAAGGGTGATGCTGTGATCCCAGGACACAGCCCAGGACACGATCAGACAGATCCTAGATGTGGGACTGTCCCAGAAACTCCAGAACAGCTGGCATCTATAGACCATTCACTTAAATTTTGTTTTGTTGTATTGATAGTTTTAAATATTATTAATATTAGGAATAATTTGAATTTCTATAAATTTTTTACATTTTCATACCTTCTGATACTGGTTGCTACAGTTAAAGCAGCCTGGGACACAGCATGGCTGAGCACTTAGATGTTCAACTGTCCTAGAAAACGCACGGGGGTCTCTACCAAAATTACACCCACCTTCTCCGTGGCCCTGCCCCTAATTATGCAGGAACCACCCACTTGTGGCTCCAATTCCCTCAGTTATTGCCCTTTTTTTACTGAATAAATCAAATAAGGGTGATATTGTGATCCCAGGACACAGTCCAGGACACTACGCATGACTGGCGTAGAGTGCACATTTTCCAGTAACGTTTGGTAAATTGTTGGATGCAGGGGCGGACTGACCATTTGGAAACTTGGGCACTGCCCGAGGGCCTGGGTCAGTAGGGGGCCCCATGAGATGCCCCTGGTACCTTTTTCATAGGCTTTTTTGAGTTTGGGCAAGGACACAGGGGCCCCATGATCCCCTATTGCCCCATGAGTTGTCAGTCCGCCCCTGGCTGCATGCAAAATCTCTCTTCCCCCCAAAAAAAAGAATTTTCGGTTTAACCCTTCCAGCACGCAACTGACTTAATTTTAGTTAACATCATTCGCTGGATTCTATTGATGAGTCAAATTAGTTGTTATTTTCTAAAACCAAAAACCAGCAAAAATTGGCATATTTTAGTTAATATTTTTGCCATTTTAGGAAAATACTTTGGAGTTAACAGGGAAGGCAAAACTAGTCATTTTGTTGGTGGTTTTAACTGTCCAACTTTGCTAAAAAGACTCCTGAGGATTACAGAAGCTCCTTTCATCTATCCTGGAATTGTTCTTGTGCCAAAAAAAAAGGGCTCCTCATTAATCAAACAGAGAAAAATAAATTACAAAAAAAGATAAAAGTGAGCAAAGATCTAACACACATACAAAAAAGAAAAAATAACAAAAATATAAAGAACACTAAATGAATTAAAGAAAAATACCAAATATAAAAACCCTAAAAACATGTTTGAATAAATCAAAAAAGAAAAGATCTCAACCCGCCCTCAGCTGTCACTGCGTTCATTTAATAAAGGAAAACAGGCCTTTCACTTTAAAAAGGAATTTGCCCCAGAGCTTAATGAATGTGGTGAAATTTGACTTTGAAAAAAACACCCAGTCACATGAAAGGAAAATTTAAAAAAATGCATTTTTGCCTGCACATGATGGAAGACAGCATTCACCTTGTTTACTAAGCTCTAGGGAAAATGCACTTGCAAAGTGAACAGTCTATTTGTCTTCAGTCAATAAACCCCATTGACTTTAAATGATTACGACATCAAACCACTTCCAGCTGTCACTACGTCCATTCCATAGTGCAAAAAATATAAAAGTCCAAACAAAAGACCCAAATGTAAGAAATGTGCTCCAATTCCAGAAAAAGTGCTCAACAAAATCTTCAAAAAAAGTGCGCACACCATCCGTGATTGACGATCCAATCCCCACTCACCAGATGGAGTGGACTCTTTGCTGGTATGGCTAAAAAGTCAGACAAGCTTTAAACATATCCTTTCTTATCTGCCACTACAGTGGCTCTGAATAGTTCACATGGCATCACCCCACCCTCCAGCTGTAACCACATTGGATCTGAATAGTCATGTGACATCATCCCACCCACCAACTGTAACTACGTTGGCTTTCAAAAGTCACAAGACATCATTCCACCCTCCAACTTTCTACAATGGCTCATAATAGTCATGTGACATCACTCCGCCCTCCAACTTACTGCATTGGCTCTAAATAGTCATGTGACATCATCCCGCCCTCCGTCTGTAACTGTGTTGGTTCTGAATAGTCATGTGCAGGGGTGGACTGGCCATTTGGAAACTTGGGCACTGCCTGAGGGCCCGGGGTCAGTAGGGGGCCCCATGAGATGCCCCTGGTACCTTTTTCATAGGCTTTTTTGAGTTTGGGCAAGGACACAGGGGCCCCATGATCCCCTATTGCCCGGGGGCCCCATGAGTTGTCAGTCCACCCCTGGTCATGTGACATCATTCCACCCTCCAACTGTAACTATATTGGCTCTGAATGGTCATATGACATCATCCCACCTACCAACTAACTAGATTGGCTCTGAATAGTCATGTGACATCATCCCACCCTCCAACTGTAACTATGTTGGCTCTAAATAGTCATGTGACATCATCCTACCCTCCAACTAACTACATTGGCTCTGAATAGTTATACAACATCATTCCGCCTGCCAACTAACTAGATTGGTTCATAATAGATTGGCTCATGTGACATCATCCCACTCTCCAACTGTAACTATATTGGTTCTTAATAGTCATGTGACATCTTTCCACCCTCCAGCTGTAACTACATTGGCTTTGAATAGTCACGTGACATCATTCCACCCCTCTAACTAACTTCATAGGTTATAAATAGTCATGTGACATTATCCCACCCTCCAACTATCACAACATTGGCTTTGAATAGTCATTCCACCCTCCAGCTATATACATTGGCTCTAAAATAGTCATGTGGCATCATACTACCCTCCAATTGTAACTTTATTGGCTTATAATAGTCATGTGACATCATCCCGCCCTCCAACTGTAGCTACATTGGCTTTGAATAGTCATATGACATCATCCCGCCCTCCGACTAACTGCATTGGTTCTAAATAGTCACGTGACATTATGCCACCCTCCAGCTGTAACCATATAGGTTCTGAATAGTCATGTGACATCATCCCACCCTCCAGCTGTAACTATATTGGTTCTGAATAGTCATGTGACATCATCCCGCCCTCCAACTGTAACCATATTGGTTCTGAATAGTCATGCGACATCATCCCGCCCTCTAGCTGTGACTACATTGGCTCTGAATAGTCGTGCGACATCATCCCACCCTCTAGCTGTAACCATACATTGGTTCTGAATAGTCATGTGACATCATCCCGCCCTCCGACTAACTGCATTGGTTCTAAATAGTCACGTGACATTATGTCACCCTCCAACTGTAACCATATTGGTTCTGAATAGTCATGTGACATCATCACACCCGCCAGCTGTAACTATATTGGTTCTGAATAGTCATGTGACATCACCCCGCCCTCCAACTGTAACCATATTGGTTCTGAACAGTCATGTGACATCATCCCGCTCTCCAACTGTAACCATATTGGTTCTGAACAGTCATGTGACATCATCCCACCCTCTAGCTGTAACTACATTGGCTCTGAATGTTCAAATGGCTCTGGAGTCTGGAGAGGTTACCTTATAATACATAAATGGAGGACAGTCTTTTTTTTGCAGTTTACATTGCACATGCTTTACATTTGCAGGAAGGAGGATGATCCCTGTCCATAGGAGCTGACAATCTAAATGTCTTCAATTTCTTTAGTAGCTACTTGACTCCTACTTGTAAAGAAAACTACAATTATTTCCTGAAAGAAATGACCCGAGGAGCCATCGCTGCTACTAGGGGGCCCTTCTGTTCCTCTTAAATCGCTGTCCACAGCGTCCTGAAATAACACCAGATTAATCATGGTTTAAGTGCTTTCTCAGTGAGATGAGGTCATGCGGCGGTTTGATCCTGATCGATAATAATTGCTCAAATATTTGGGCGTAATTACCCGTATTTATGTCATCGCCGCTATACGTCTTCCCATATTTAACTTGTGTTCATGGTGAAAGATTGGTGAGGATCAAACTACCTGCCTGCAATTTCTCCTTCCCGATCCGGACAGCCATTTATAATCTCATTTTCCAATCAGTGGGGGGCGTGACCTCTCTCAAGGGCCACACTGGGCCAATCATTATTAGCCTGGAATCTGCAAAATACAGAATCCTGAAGGAATGGACAAGATTACATTTCCTTCTACATTAATTCCAATTGAAGGAGCAATCCCGGGAAAAATTACATCCAAAAGACATTTTACATTATTACTACGGACGCCCCAATATTGATACTGGTATCGGCGCTGGTACCGAGTATTGTTATGAGTACTCGTGAAAATTCTCCAGATACCCAAAACCAATACTTTGCAGTGAAATTTGTGTCAATACAAAGTGAATGGGCGCAAATGACACTGCAAAGAATGGCATGCGATTTGAACAGGAATGCAGTGCAATTCCAGTCCAGGGGCAGACTGACCATTAGAGCACACGGGCACTGCCCGAGGGCCCAGGGTCAGTAGGGGGCCCCATGAGATGCCCCTGACAGGGGCAGACTGACAACTCATGGGGCCCCCGGGCAATAGGGGATCATGGGGCCCCTGTGTCCTTGCCCAAACTCAAAAAAGCCTATAAAAAAGGTACCAGGGGCATCTCATGGGGCCCCCTACTGACCCCGGGCCCTCGGGCAATGCCCGAGTTTCCAAATGATCAGTCCGCCCCTGGTGCCCAGACATACTTGGACTTTGATTCCTTTTATGGTCCTTGCAGCCAAGAGGCTTTTTTGGGTGTGGTTTGAGTGTGGGTGAGGACACAGGGGCCCCATGATCCCCTATTGCCCGGGGGCCCCATGAGTTGTCAGTCTGCCCCTGTTCCAGTCCGAAGTGCATGTGGTTCCCCGCACCGCTCTTGTGTGAACCCAGGCTGAAATCGTTATGACAAGTCTGCGTTCACTCCGGAGAGGTGGGGAAACCGCATGCGATTCGGACTGGAATTTCACTGCATTCATTTTCAAATCACATGCTGGTCTTTGCAGTGCAATTTGTGTCCATTAATTTTGTATTTAAGCAAATCGCACTGCAAAGTATTGGTACTCGGTATTGGTGAGTACTTGACCAAAATTATCCATACTCATACCTGCCAATAAAAAAAGGGTATTGGTGCATCCAGGGCTCTGGATAAGGGGGTACCACCAGTCCATCTGTACAGGGCCCAGGCCAGCAGGGGGGCCCAGGCAGCTGGGTGAATTGGATGTTGGCAGGGGGGGTGATGGACACGGCCGGGGGGGAATTACTGGAATCGATCCCCTGTATGTCTCTCTGCAGCAGCTGAAAGCTGGCTTCTTCTCTTCTCCCTCCCACTGGCTTTCAGCAGCGACAGAGAAGAGCCATACAGGGGATCGGTTCCAGTAAATTCCCTCTTCCGCACCCATCACCCTCCCTGTGAACCATATGTTTCCCCCTAATGCCCCCACTCACACAGTGCTACCAGCTTCCCACCCCTCTCTCTTCCCTCCTACAGCTGAAAGCACACAATAGGATCCTTAACCACTTCCAGTCCGGACACTTTCACTTTCCCCCTTCCAGTCCGGACACTTTCCCCCCCTTCCAGTCCGGACACTTCCCCCCCTTCCAGTCCGGACACTTTCACCCCCTTCCAGTCCGGACACTTTCCCCCCCTTCCAGTCCGGACACTTTCCCCCCTTCCTGTCCGGACAGTTTCCCCCCCTTCCAGACACTTTCCCCCCCTTCCGGACACTTTCCCCCCCTTCCAGTCCGGACACTTTCACCCCCTTTCCAGTCCGGACACTTTCCCCCCCCTTTCCAGTCCAGGCCAATTTTCAGCTTTCAGCGCTGTCACACTTTGAATGACAATTGCGCGGTCATGCAACACTGTACCCATATGAATTTTTTCACATTTTTTTGAGAGATAAAACTTTATTTTGGTGGTATTTATTCACCACTGGGATTTGTATTTTTTTTTGCTATATAAAAGAAAAGTCCAAAAATGTTGAAAAAAAAGTGTTTTTCTTATACAATTTTGCAAATAAATAATATTTTATCATAAATCTTGGCCAAAATGTATTCAGTTATCTTTTTAGTAAAATAAAACCCCAAATTAGTTTATAACCAAAAATTATAATTTTTTTTTTACATTTTTATTTTATTTTTTATATTATTATTTATGTTTTTTTTCTACATACTGTCACCCTAACAGTACAGTGTCACCATGGTGACACTGTACTACTTGTGGGGGGTGATGAAGATCTTTTTTTACACTGATTGCTTTTACACCCATAAAGGCTGTAAAAGCAATCATTTCTCCTTCTTGCAGCCATTGAGAAATACTGAGTGTGCTGTGATTGGTCACAGCTTGTCACATGGTACAAGGCTGTTGTGAATAGCCCTGTACCATGTGATCTCTGTGATCATTCACAGATGTCACACGTAGTAAGCAATGATATCAGAAGTGACATTTTGCTTACTACTCTGCATGTGATCACATGATTGGGAACTCGCACAGATGTCCCTTACAACGATCTGAGTTCCAACCTGCCCCTGGAGTGCCACTGGAGTCCCGCCGTTTATATATAGCGGCCGGATGGGAAATGGTTAAAGATGGAGAGTGGGGGAGGGGTCTAGTAAATTTGTTACATTTACCAACCCCTTTCTTTCCTGAATGAACACAATTAGTCATCAGTACCAATTACTCACTGTGTTCATTCATAACTAAAGCATAGCAAACTGTTTTTTTTTTTTGTTTTTTTTGGGGGGGGGGGGGGGGCTTTCAGGTTGGCTGTATAGGGCCCTGTGGTTTCTAACAAGAGCCCTGGGTGCATTGCTAATTATTATTATATATTTATATCCAGGGCTTTTTTTCAGTAGGAACATAGGGGAACGCAGTTCCGGCACCCTCCAGTACTGAATATATGTAATGGCAAGGGGCGCTGGAGTGTGCTGTAGGATCTATTAATTCTGGCTGCTGCGGGATCTATTGTTGCTGGAGTGGATCTATTTTTGCATGGTGGTCTTTTGTTGCTGTGAAGGTCTATTGTTGTTGGTGGGGCTTATATTGTTGGTGGGGTCAATTGTTGCTGGAAGAAATCTACTATTGACGGGGGTCCATTGTTGCTGGAAGGCATCTATCTTGTGTTGCTGTCCATTGTTGCTGGGAAGATCTATTGTTGCTGCGGGGGGGGGGGGGTTATTCTTGTTGTGGTGGTTGTTGCTAGAAGGGATCTACTGTTGAGTTAGGGGTCTATTGTTGCTGGCTGCCGAGGGTCTATTGTTGCAGGAGTCCGTTGTTGCTGGAGGTAGAATCTATTGTTGCTGGAGAGGGTCTATTGCCACTGGCTGCAGGGGGGGGGGGGCCTTTTTTTACTGATTTTCTTATCATTAGCAAATTACTTAGCAAAACAAATGATACTGTATTCTCTAAAAGGGGCGGTACTGAGAGGTGGGTTGGGGGTGAAACCAAGGGACGGTGCCCAGAGGTGAGTAGGGTGCGGAGACAAGAAGAGATTCAGAAGGGGGGAGTTCCTGCACCTATTCTCTGAGAAAAAAAGCCCTGTATATATAGCTCTGACATATTCCATAGTGCTGTACAGAGAACACTGAGCCAGTCACATCTGTCCTTGAACCAAAGGAGCTTACACTCTAAAGTTCCCCCAAAGTTGCACAGTAATAATATTATTATCATATTGAGCTGAATTTAAACCCCCCCCCCCCCATTAGACTGTGTTTTTTTTTTATTTTCTATTTTTTTTCCTCATTGGTAGAAGTCCCTATGCTAAACAAACTAAAAAAACCAGAAAGGTTTGAAAAAAAGTTTTTTCTTAGTTTCTGTTATAACATTTTATAAATAAGTAATTTTTCTCCTTCACTGATGTATGCTAATGAGGCTGCAGTGAAGGGCAATGATAGGCGGCACTGATGGGCACTGATAGGTGACACGGATGAGGAGGCACTGATAGGTGGCACTGATAGGCATTGACAGGCATCACTGATGGATGCTGAAAGGCAGCACTCATATATGGCACTGATAGGTGGCACTGACTGGCACTGATAGGTGGCACTGACTGAAACTGTTAGGCAGTACTGATAAGCAGCACTGATGGGCGCTGATAGGCGGCACTGCTAGGCGGTACTGACTGGCACTGATTGGTGGCACTGACTTGCACTGATAGGTGGCACTGGTTGGCACTGATAGGTGGCACTGATGGGCATTGACAGGTATCACTGGTGGGCATTGACAGGCATCACTGATGGGCACTGATAGGCAGCATTCATATATGGCACTGATAGGCGGCACTGATGGGCACTGATAGGTGGCACTGATTGGAACTGTTAGGCAGCACTGATTGGAACTGTTAGGCAGCACTGATGGGCACTGATAGGTGGCACTGACTGGCACTGATAGGTGGCATTGACTGGAACTGTTAGGCAGCACTGATAGGCAGCACTGGCTGGCACTGATAGGCGGCACTGACTGGCACTGATAGGCGGCACTGATGGGCACTGATAGGTGGCACTGACTTGCACTGATAAGTGGCACTGATGACCATTGACAGGCATCACTGATGGGCACTAAAAGGCAGCACTCATATATGGCACTGATAGGTGGCACTGACTGGCACTGATAGGTGGCACTGACTGGCACTGATAGGTGATACTGATTGGAACTTTTAGGCAGCACTGATGGGCACTGATAGGTGGCCCAGACTGGCACTGCTAGGTGGCACTGACTGGCACTGATAGGTGTCACTGACTGGCACTGATTGGAACTGTTAGGCAGCACTGATAGGTGGCCCTGACTGGCACTGATAGATGGCACTGACTGGCACTGATAGGTGGCACTGACTGGCACTGATAGGCATCACTGACTGGCACTGATAGTTGGCACTGAAAGGCAGCTCTCCTCTCTGAGAATGCCGATAACCGACATTTTCTTGTTTACATGCAATCAGCTGTGATTGGACACAGCTGATCACATGACAGACATCGGCTCTTTAGAGTGATCGGTGATCCGCTGTGTCCCAGGGACTCAGCACATCGCCGATCTGCACACCCCGTGGGCGGCATGCGCAGTTAGAGCGGGAGGACGTCATATGACATCCTCCCAGAATGAGAGAGCCGCCGCCCTCCCGTCATTTTCTTATATGGTGGGCGGGAGGCAGTTAAACAAACTGAAGTTAGAAGCTGATTGGTTACTGCTGTACCAGATTCTGGGTGCTCCAGTGTTAGTAGATCCCTCTTCATTATAGGATGATGACAGTGTTGCCTATACTGCCATACAAACACTGATTACCGGCCTTCCCCTTTAATCCCGCGCTCCCTGTGACCGTTCTCGCCGTTCTTTTCCTCCTCTGTCAATGATCTCTCTGGCCTTTGTGCCATTCTCGCTCCTGTTAATGCACCGAGAGGCGCGATACACTGCGAGCGCTTTATGTTTCTCTCTTAAATGGCTCGTAATGTTTACAAGGATTCCGCTAAGTGGCGGCCTGACCGGCAGCAGAGCGGGGAGAGGGAGCGCACTTTCCCCAAGGTGAAGGCACTCTGGTTAATCTTGACCTTTGTGCGAGGAAGGCAAGCGGCCCATTTCTCAGCTCATGTGCAATTGCGCGGCGGTGAAGGTGTCTGATTGCAAATGGAGATGAATGATGGAAGCAGCCGGGTAATTTGTGAAATGGGTTCCAGCTCCCCTATACTTTTGTCAGTAATTTTCCTTCATGGACTGAACCCCCCCCCCCCCCCCCCGCCTACTGAACATGGACTAATATCACCGAAATCTCTAAAATATGCAAATGCTGGGGAACTTCTTATTGTGAAGGAGAAATATTAATCGTCTGGTGCTGAATATGTTCCTGTATACATTATATTGCCAAAAGTATTGGTCGGCCGGCGTTTCCACGCACATGAAATTTAATGGCACCTCAGTCTTAGTCCATAGGGTTCAATATTGAGTTGGCCCTGCCCTTTCCATGCACATGACCTTTAATGCCCCCCAGTCTTAGTCCATAGGGTTCAATATTGAGTTGGCCCTGCCCCTTTCCACGCACATGAAATTTAATGGCCCCCCCGGTCTTAGTCCGTAGGGTTCAATATTGAGTTGGCCCCGCCCTTTTCCATGCACATGAAATTTAATGGCCCCCCAGTCTTAGTCCATAGGGTCAATATTGAGTTGGCCCCGCCCTTTCCACGCACATGAAATTTAATGGCCCCCCCGGTCTTAGTCCGTAGGGTTCAATATTGAGTTGGCCCCCCGCCCTTTGCAGCTATAACAGCTTCAACTCTTCTGGGAAGGCCGTCCACAAGGTTTAGGAGGGTGTCTATGGGAAGGTTGGACCATTCTTCCAGAAGCACATTTGTGATGTCAGGCACTGATGTCGGGGGAGGAGGCCCGGCTCACAGTCTCCGCTCTAATTCATCCCAAAGGTGTTCTATGGGGTTGAGGTCAGGACTCTGTGCAGGCCAGTCAAGTTCCTCCACCCCAAACTGGCTCCTCCATGTCTTTATGGACCTTGCTTTGTGCACTGGTGTGCAGTCATGTTGGAACAGGAAGGGGCCATCCCCAAATTCTTCCCACAAAGCTGGGAGTATGAAATTGTCCAAAATGTCTTGGTATGCTGATGCCTTAAGAGTTCCCTTCACTGGAACTAGGGGGCCAGCCCAACCCCTGAAAAACAACCCCACACCATAATCCCCCCTCCACCAAACTTTAAACTTGGCACAATGCAGTCAGGCAAGTACCGTTCTCCTGGCAACTGCCAAACCCAGAAACATCCATCGGATTGCCAGACAAAGAAGAGTGATTGATCACTCCAGAGAACATGTCTCCACTGCTCTAGAGTCCAGTGGCGGCATGCTTTACACCACGGCATCCCTCGCTTTGCATTGCGTCTCCACTGCTCTAGAGTTTGAAATGGAAACATATTGCAATAAATACAATAAATTATAAAAGTAAAATAAGATGATGATTCCTAGTTAGGCTACTGACTAGACTAGAATAGATTGCAATAGAATAGAATAGAAAATACTAGAGTAGAATAGAAAGGAACTGAATAAAATAAAACAAAACAGGATAGACTAAAATAGAAAAGAATAGAAAAAGTTGAATAGAATAGAAAAGAATGGAGTAAAATATAAAAGAATAGAATAAAACAAAGCAGGGTAGAATAAAATAGAAAATAATAGAAAAAGTTGAATAAAATAGAACAGAAAAGAATAGAATAGAAAATAATAGAGTAAAATAGAATAGCATAGAAAAAAAATAAAAAATAATTATTATATTATTAATATACAGGATGTATATATAGTGCCAACAGTTTGTGACGTGCTTTACAACATGAGGGCAGACAGTACAATTGCAGTACAATTTACTATAGAGGGAAACAGAGGGCCCTGCTCATTAGAGTTTACAGTCTAAAAGGGAGGAATTGATATAAAGCAGTTGGAGAAAATAAAGTACACATATTAGGTGGGGACAGGAAAGGCTTCTCTGAAGAAACAGTTGCATAGATTGGAGTAGAGAATTCCAAAGGATGGGAGAGACTCGGGAGAAGTCCTGGAGGCGAGCATGGGAGGAGGTGACAAGGGAGCTATAGAGCAGGAGGTCTTGGGGAGAATGAAGAAAAGAAAAGAACAGAAGAGAACAGAAAATAGAAGAATAAAACTGAAAATGAAAGAAAAAAATAGAACAAAAGAAAATAGAATAGAAAAGAAAAGAATAAAAAAAATAGAATAGAACAGAAAATTAAGGAATAGAATAGAAAAGTAGAATAGAATAAAAAAGAATAGAATTCAAAAGAAAAGAATGGAATAAAATAAAAAATAGAATAGAATAAAATAAAATAGAACCAGTACAGCTGTCTTCTGAAATTTGAATGTAGTGTAGTTTTGACCCCTGCATTCTATACACTGTGTTGTAAACTACATACTCCTGACTCCTGCACTCTATACACTGTGTTATAAATGACATACTCCTAAACCCTGCACTCTATACACTGTGTTGTAAATGACATACTCCTAACCCCTGCACTATATACACGGTGTTGTAAATGACATACTCCTGACCCCTGCACTCTATACACTGTGTTGTAAATGACATGCTCCTGACCCCTGCACTTTATACACTATGTTGTAAATGACATGCTCCTGACCCCTGCACTCTACACACGGTGTTGTAAATTACATACTCCTGACCCCTGCACTCTATACACTGTGTTGTAAATGACATACTCTTGACCCCTGCACTCTATACACTGTGTTGTAAATGACATACTCCTGATCCCTGCACTCTATACACTGTGTTGTAAATGACATACACCTAACCCCTGCACTCTATACACAAATTGTAAATGACATGCTCCTGACCCCTGCACTTTATACGCTATGTTGTAAATTACATTCTCCTGACCCCTGCACTCTACACACGGTGTTGTAAATGACATTCTCCTGACCCCTGCACTCTATACACTGTGTTGTAAATGACATAATCCTCACCCCTGCACTGTACACACGGTATTGTAAATGACATGCTTCTGACCCCTGCACTTTATACAGTATGTTGTAAATGACATGCTCCTGACCCCTGCACTCTACACACAGTGTTGTAAATTACATACTCCTGACCCCTGCACTCTATACACTGTGTTGTAAATGACATGCTCCTGACCCCTGCACTCTACACACGGTGTTGTAAATGACATGCTCCTGACCCCTGCACTTTATACAGTATGTTGTAAATGACATGCTCCTGACCCCATGCACTCTATACACTGTGTTGTAAATGACATACTCCTGACCCCTGCACTCTATACACTGTATTGTAAATGACATACTCCTGACCCCTGCACTCTATACACTGTATTGTAAATGACATACTCCTGACCCCCGCACTCTATACACTGTATTGTAAATGACATACTCCTGACCCCCCGCACTCTATACACTGTATTGTAAATGACATACTCCTAAACCCCTGCACTCTATAGGGTTGTGTTGTGTTGTATGATATGATGCAGCTCTGCAGACCTCAGGGCAGGTAGATGTATTTTTTCTTCCCTAACACCTGATAGCAATGACCCTGAACTAGAAGGACAGAACATTGTGATTCCGGCAATAGATGTCGGGCCGTTCCGTCAGTCTCCATAAATGTACGATCCGTGAAGCCTTTCCAGATGTATAGAAAGCTATATGAAGTCAATGTAAAGGGAGCTTTCATCCTCAGGACTGATTCCCAGGGCGCTCTTGGCCGGACTGTTCGTTCTCAGCGCTCGCAGCGTTCTCGCCGGGCTGTTTTTTTACATTATAAATATAACATTTGCCCGTTTTTTGTGTTTGTGCCGGAAATCCTCTGACAAATGTTATTGCCCTGTAAAATATCCTCGCACTTTGTAACTCATTGCTGCGAAACCCCGGCGTGCCGCGCCGCTTCTTTATTACGGATGTCTAATTCACATTTAATTTGTGGTTGTTTTTTTTATTATTTATTTTGGTTTTGGGGCTTTATTAACAATAAAATAAATCCTGTCTGCGGACCGTAAACAAGGCGGAGGGTTCCGGCGCGGCTGCGGAGGATGTGGCCCAGTTGTTGGCTGCGGTCCGTCTTTTGTTTAACCCTCGGGGCCTGGGAACAGGAAATCTTCTGTCCACCTGCCGGGGACCCAGCCAGAGCCCTGCAACCCGCTGACCTGTTCAGGAAAATGCATG